ATATACCACTGTCAATGTTTTCATAATCTCCCTTTCTGTCTTTTATTTATTTTTGAAGCAGAATCAGTGCTTCTTAAGACTGTTTAAATAGGCCAGGTGGTGGTGGTGGTGGTGGTGTATGCCTTTAATCCCAGCACTCAGGAGGCAAAGGTGCGGGCAGAGCTCTGTGAGTTAGAGGCCAGCCTGGTCTACATACTAAGTTCTAGGTCAGCCAAAGCTATACAGAGAAACCCTGTCTCAAAAATCAGCCAAAACAAAAAACTCCAAACCAAGCAAGTGTTATAGAGAGAGGCGCTGGGGAAAGACTCAGAGTACAGACGTGGCTCTCAGAAGACAGTCACCTTTGCTTTATGTCTCTATCCACAGACCAGGGGGATCTTTTTGCTTTGGCTTTATAAAATTAGAACCAGTATAAAAATTCTATGTTTTCACATTTAATGTTGTCTAATTAATATTTCCTTTATCACTGCCTACCGATCCAGAGCTGTTTCATCACAGTATGTCGTTATGGGTTAACGTGACACACATGCCAAGGATACAATACCGCATGAGAATGGGGATTGCTACTAGACCCTGGCTTGGTTATTTCTCTATCGTGTGCTTGGACCAGCCTGCTTTTCATAGGATAAATGCTTGGGAGGATGGGGTCAGACGTCCTTGTACCAGCCTGGTCTTCACAGGATAGATGCTTGGGAGGACTGGGTCAGAAGTGCACATTCTGAAGGATCTCTGTTGGTGTTGTGTTGCTGGGGGCCTTTTACTTTTCCTTGACAAAGTAGTAAGGAACCGAACTTGGGCCTCACACATATTAGGTAAGCATTACTACTCAGCTACAGATTCCTAGCAACCAGAATGTTACTATTTTTGTTTTTTTAAATTGATATTTATTTTATGAGTACAAATGGATTGCACTACATGCAAATACTGACCTGAGAGGCCAGAAGAGGATGTTGGGTCCATTGGAACTGAAGTTACAGATGCTTGTAAGCCATCACGTGGGTGCTGGGAACCTAACCAGGGTCCTCTATAGGAGTAGCAAATGTTCTTATCTGCGAGGTCATCTCTCAAACCCTGCTTTTGAGATGGGATTTTGCTAAACTGCCTAGGCTAGCCTCAAGCCTGCTTTAGCCTCCTGGGTATCTGGGATAACGGGGTGTGCTTCACATCACCTAGTCCAGAAGTTACATCCATACCAAGTCCCCAAAAGCACTCACACTCACATTCACAGAAGAACAAAAGCACAAGTGTCCGTTTTACGGTACCCTGGACAGCACCGTACCCTGACAATACTTGGGAACATCAGAGAATTGATGAACAAAGTAGCTACTGGGATTGGTAATAACAAGAAGCCTTATGTTTACAGAGAAATAATTTCTCTCCCACCACCTATACATAAAGCTGGTGTAACTCAGATCAGCCTTCTTCAGCCTGGGATTAAAGGCCTGTATCACCACACCCAGATTGAGCAGCGACAGAAACACCACAGAAAGGCCACTGTAGGACTGCAAGCAGAGCACACTGGTGTTCTGACTATACAGGCAAGGTGTAGGGGCAGAAACAGTCAAAGAATCTCTAGAAGAAAGCCCTGAGTAGACTGCTAATCACCCGGAACGCAGAAGGTAAGGGGAAGTCAATGCCTGACAGTGAGACAGAGGTTCTGCCCCACAGGGTTGGAACACTAGGTGAACCACGGAGTTATTTCTTAGGACATGAAATATAGGCCACCAGGGTTTAGGATTAAGAGAGCAGAGTTTTATTTCAGGCTGAGATTCCATTGGCGATTGTCTTAGGATTTCTCTTGCTGTGAAGAGACACCATGATCACAGCAACTCTATTTATAAAGGAAAACAGTTAACTGGGGGTGGCTTAGAGTTCAGAGGTTCAGTTCATTATCATCATGGTGGGACATGGCGGTGTGCAGGCACACATGGTGCTGGAGAAGTAGCTGAGAGTCTGACACCTTGCAGGTAATAGGAAATGGGCATGGCTTGGGCATATATGAGACCTCAAAACTCAGTGCCACCGAGAGTACTTCCTCCTAATAGTCACTCCCTAGGACTTTATGGGGCCAATTACAAACTACCATAGCAGTTTAAGAAGTGAATTTGAAAACTGGGGAAATGCTGAGGATACATGTGGATTAGTAAACTAAAACCCTCAAGTCTGAAACCCAAAGCACTTCCAGAATCTGAATAAAAACAACCCTCAAATCTAAAGTAACTTCCTAGTCCCAAACTTGAATACACTTTTTTAAAGACATGTATTTTGTGTGTGTGTGTGTGTGTGTGTAGACATGTTTGTATCTGCGTGTGTCACAGCATGTGGGGGCTGAAGGACAGTCACATTCAGCTTTTACCATTCAGGTCAGCGGGCTTGTGCTGCTTCCACACCTGGAGCACCCTCCTGTGTAAGGGACTTGCAAGCTGTAGAAATAACTGGTGGTAAACTGAAGCCAGCAAACCGTGGGGTTTTCCAGGGAAAATGCATAGTGACAGAGGGGCCCAGGTCAAAAGTTTGAGATAAGTGTTACTCTAAGGGCAGAGGCTTCCTGAAGAGCCAGAAACTAACGCTGCTGTTCTCTAGTTCCTTTCTGGTAACTCCTCTGTTCCAAAGCAGACTGTCTGGACTGAAAATTCCTGATGAGCTGATATGATCTCAGCTATCAGCCCGTGTGCACCTTCAGCAATCAACTAGAGTGCAAGCCCCTGGATATCACTAATAGTTTTACTTATTTATTTTACTGTGTTTTGGGTGTTTTCCTGCAGAGGTCAGAAGAGGGTATCAGATCCCCTGGATCTGGAGTTACAGAAGGTGATCAGCTGCCATTTAAGTGCTAAGAACTGAACCTGGGTCCTTTGCAACAGCAGCGAGTGCTCTTAATCGGGGAGCCATCTCTCTGGTCCCCTTTTTTTTCTCTTTTTAAAAAATTATTTCCTGCCGGGCGGAGGTGGTGCACGCCTTTAATCCCAGCAGAGGCAGGCGGAGCTCTGTGAGTTCAAGGCCAGCCTAATCTACAAGAGTTAGTTCCAGGACAGGAACCAAAAAGCTACAGAGAAACCCTGTCTCGAAAATCAAAAAAAAAAAAAAAAAAAAAAATATTTCCTATACATGGACATTCTGGCTGCATGCATTTCTGTGTACCATGCTCAAGCAGTACCTATTGAAGGCCTGAAGAAGGTGTAAGATCTTGTGAATCTGGAGTTACAGAGAGCTATGAGCAGCAGGGAGGTCCTGGGAATCTGAGGAATTCTCTTATCAGATCCTCTGGAACAGGAAGACCCACTGTGTGTGGGCAGCAGTCTAGCAGTCTACCTATCTTATTCAGCCCTGTGGATTGAACAGCTTCTCAATTCTCAGACTCCTAGTATGAGATGACCGACCAATGCTTGGACTAACTCATTGACTGTCTGTCTGTCTGTCCGTCCCCGTCCCCCCCCCCCCCCCCCCCCCCCCCCCCCCCCCCCCCCCCCCCCCCCCGCCCACACACACCAGTCTGTTTCTTTACAGAGAGAATCCTGGCTAATAAAGCCGGCCTGCACTCCCCTTCATGTCCAATCAACATATTTGTCTGTCTGTCTGTCTGTCCCCCCCCCCCCCACACACACCAGTCTGTTTCTTTACAGAGAGAACCCTGGCTAATAAAGCCGGCCTGCACTCTCCTTCATGTCCAATCAACATGTCTGCCTCCAGCGGTTTGTTTTATTTGGATCCTGGACCATGTGCTCTTCCCTGCCATCCTTCCTAGTTTTTCATGACAGCATCTCAGTCACCAACTCAGGTAGGAATAAAACCACAACAATCATATTGAACTGAGGCCTAAAATGTATTAAAACTGTAACTTTTTATTTGGGGGAGGGTGTTGAGACAGGGTTTCTCTGTGTAGCCCTTGGCTGTCCTGCATCTCACTCTGTAGACCAGGCTGGCCTCAAACTCAAGAGATCCCTCTGCCTCTACCTCCCAAATCCTGGGATTAAAGGTCTGTGTCAACAGGCCTGGCCTCTGGTTTTAGATACGGCAGCCTTAAATTGGGTATATAGTTAAAATCATTTGGAATATATCTTTTTTACAGGACAAGTAAACCAACCCTGAGTTTCTGGTTTAAACCTCTATCCTTTTAAAAAAACAAGTGCATTGTTTCTACTGAAGCTACAATATGCAATTAAGGACCTGAGTATTGTATCACTCAGCACGTTCATGCTGAAATCTAATCCCCAGTGTGAAAGTATCAAAAGGGAGGCCCCTCAAAGGCATTTGCTGTGGAGGGTTCTGCGTCTGTGAATGGCATTGATGGCTCAGAAATGAGGCTCTAACACAGTTCACAGCCTTCTGCCCTCCCACCAGAGGAGACACAGCAACAGGGTACTCTTTAAAGTGAAAACAGCCAAGCCAACCAGACTCCAAACCTGCCGGCACACCTTCACCCTGGACTTTCCAGCCTCCGCAACTGTCAGAAAATTAATCTCTGGTGTCCAGGCATTACTGGTCCAGACTTTTGTTTGTTTCCCCAGCAAAGATGAACTACAGTAATCAGGGTCACTTACGTTGTTCTTCTAAAGTCCTTCTGAAGTGTTGGGTACTCCGGCATTTTTCTAATATCTTCCCAGTCTTTATCTTAAAGAAATTATTTATAGAAAATATCTTATTAAAAGTCTCCTATTTTTTTAGTTTAAAAATAAACATAAAACAAACTTTATGCATGTTCTTACAAAGAAACACGTTTGAACTCCAAATGATACTTTAAAAAGGGTAACACATTACCTGCAGGAAACCCCATGACACTAAATATCCGATCTAGCTGGTCATGATGGAAAGGATTGCTTGTTTTTATATCCTCCTGACGACAGTGGAAAATAGGCTCTGAAGTCAACAATTCAGCGAATATGCAGCCTATTGCCCATATGTCTACAAAGGGAAAACATTTTATACAAAAGCATTAATTTCCTTAGTTCCAATTCCTAGATATAATTCCAATACAGACAAAAATATATTTTAGTAGAGCAATATGTAAAGTATAATAAACATAACGAAGAACCGTACAGTAGCTGCAGATTAGTTCAGTTGATAACGTGCTTGCCTTGAATGCACAAACACAAAGGTTTAGGCTCAAGCCAGTACCACAAACCCTACAGCCATGGTGCCACACATCTGTAACCTGAGTTTGTGGGAAGTAGGAGAATCAGAAGCTCCGTCAAAAGTGCAAACCAGCCTCCTTAGATATTTAAAAGTAAGACACACAGAGCCAGCAAGATGGCTCAGTGGCTAAAGGTGCTCACACAAAGGTAGAAGAACAGAAGCAACTCCTCTGACCTCCACATGTGTCCCGAGGCGTGCACACATGTGGATGTGGGTGGCACACAGTGAAAAACAGATTAACACAAATAACATGGGATGCCTTATCATAACAGTTCTGAAGCCAAAGAAAAGAAACATTGACTTATAAATTTCCTGGTGGCGAAAGGCTTAGAAAAAAACCTAAACTTGGCAAAAAAAAAAAAAAAAATTCCTCATGGGAATTTGAGAGAACTTCTCACTGTATAGTCAAAGCTGGCCTCAAATGTGTGAGCTTTCTGCCTGAGTTTCCCAAGTGCTGGGATCCCAGGCTTGTGCTCCCACACTTGACACAATGAATCCCTTTCTAACTGTCGCCACTACTTTAATCACAGAGGCATTTAACTGCTGATGTAACAGTTCATGACACTCAGATCTGACAGAATGAAACAATAATCCTATCTGTTAGCACAATAAATTCTTCTGTACAGAGAGCAAAAGAACTATAGAAAACTCGAATTCTGCCTATAAAACCCCAAGAGTCCATTTCCCCGAACTAATTCTGAACTTAAAAGTTGACACACAAAACAAGAATAAGCAGGCACAGCATGACACCAGCGAGACACACGGCCGGCCGGACAGAGTCCCTTTAGCTGTCCTCACCACTACCAAAACCTTAAGACAAAGCTTGTGAGGGGTCAGAATCGTGACTTACTTGATGGATATTGTCTAGATGTATAAGACCTCAGGCTTTATTTATCAGCACTAAATAAATTAATTTAATGAGTTTTACTACTCAAAGTTACAAGACATAATGTATTTCTAGAACTAAGATTATACCTACAATGTTTTGCTATATGCATAAATGAATTAACTTTTGAGATAAATATTCACATTTGCTCATTTTGATAAAAGTTATTTAGTAAGTTTAAGAATAGAAAATACAGCTAGGAATAAAAAAAAATAGTTTACCGCAACGCCAAACACATCCTGAAGATAAACTACATAAACAAAGAGTTTAATTACATCCATTAACTAGAATAAACGTCAGTACGCTCTGCTGTAAAAGAGGCTGCCCAACATGAATCCATGTTGGAAGGCCTCTCCTGTCTGACCATTTAGACATTTCCCTCCAAGAAATCTGCCTTCTGGATAATGGGCAATGGCCCTCAGTAACCGCTGTCTACCACCCCCATTACTGCTATCATTTAAGGCTATAAAACATGACCTAATCTTCCTTCATGACACAGCCACCATCGTCATCACGGACATCCCTTAACACCACATATAGTCTGTGTCAACTTTTTAATCCTTTCCCATCTGTCACTCTTGTCCCTAATGGCTCCACCATCTCGCTTCCTCCTGGCTTCTTCTTTTTTTTTTTTTTTTAAAAGATTTTATTTATTTATTATGTATACAACATTCTGCCTCCATGTATGCCCGCATGCCAGAAGAGGGCGCCAGATCTCACTGCAGATGGCTGAGAGCCACCATGTGGTTGCTGGGAATTGAACTCAGGACCTCTGGAAGAGCAGTCAGTGCTCTTAACCACCGAGCCATCTCTCCAGCCCTTCCTCCTGGATTCTAATAAGGGCTACACTACTGTGAGCGGCCAATCATGTCAACTCCTGATTGGTACTTCTGAGGGACAAAAGGCAAAATCTAGACTTCTCTGTGAACTGTTAGCATAAAGAACCTCAGAGAAGAAAGCAATGTTTTAAATTCTGCCTCCTGCCAACATTATCTTATAATTCAGTATTTCCGTCTAGCTCTTGCATCATTATACTTGTTCCTGACACAAGCCAGGGCTGGAGAGAAGTGAAAATGAGTGAGTGTGTACCTGTAGATATTTTAAACACAGAGATAGCTCATTTGGAAGTTATTTTTCTCTATCTTAATAACCTCTTAACTTCTACTGTGAATGGATTATTAGGACTTATGATTTTGTTTTGGAGATGAGATAGGATCTCACTTGTGTGTATTGGGCTGGCCTTGAACTCACTACTCACAACCTTCCTGCATCAGCATCCTCTCAGGTACTAGCACTTCAGGAATTAGTATCTGGTAAGTATGTTTCTATCTTAAGTACTAAATCTCATTAACTGGGCAGAAAAGTTACAAATTGGTTAAAATTCAATTTCAGTTCCCTTACCCGAGGGGAAAACAGTTGATTTTTAATTTATACCCAATTACATTTATTAAAACCAACCAAATCACAACAGCAAACCCACCACATCTATTTCCTTCCAACAGCTAAGGGAAGCTGAAAAAGAAAAATTCCACAACTGTGCTTCTGCAAAAGTGTGCTGCTCCCCAGAGTGTAGACACACAGCAGATCTGTGCAGGAAAGTCCATGAAAAGCTGGATTTACTGAGGACTTACTGTATGTATAACATTAACTTTGGTGGGTATGGTCTCTGGAATGAGAATGGCCCCCATAGGATCTTATTTGACTATTTGGTCCCCAGTTGGTGGAACTGCGACCTTGGAGGAGGTGTGGTCTTGGAGGAGGTGTGCCCCTGCTATGGCTTTTTAAGGTTTCAAATACCTATGCCATTCCCAGTTAGCTCTCTTTGTTTCCAGCTTGCGGGCCAAGATGTAAACTCTCAGATAATGTTTCGATCATGTTTTCCTGCCTGCTGGAATGCCCTCCCCGCACCATGATGGGTAAACCCTCTGGAACCATGAGCCCCAAATTAAATTCTTTCTTTTATAAGTTGCCTCAGTTATGGTATTTTTGTCATGGCAACAGAAAAAAGTAAGACAATGAGAAATAATTTAGAAGAAAAAAAATTTGACTAATAACTCTTTTCTTAATGGGAAATCCCCCTTTTATATGTTATACTACTTGTAGGTGTGGGCCAGGGGCATATGGATTGCTTCTGAGTCCACACATCTACCAGGCATGTTCAGCCTTTGAGCTGCATGAGTCCCAGGATAGCTATGAATATGGTCCAATGCATTTATGGATGATGAGATCATTTTACATGTTGCAATGCCAAAAGGATGAACACTCCTGCCATCCCCCCATGCCCTGAAATTATATTCCATCTTGCTTATTTTATGGTTCTATCTATCGATTTCCAGCTAACATTCCCCCTTCCTCCCCCCCCACACACACATTCTCAGACTACTTCTGCCTTCTGAAGTTATCTAAGGTACTGTTCCCAGTAACTGGTAGGAAAAGGCCTAGATAACGAGAAAAGCAAATCCATTAGGTCGGAAAACAAAAGAGCCACATGAGTACTTAGCTCTAGTCACTCTAGTGACAGCATGGCCTCAGCAGTCTCTGATCCATCTGGACACAGGTCCAGTGTCATACTCCCATTCCTCTGTGGTCAAACACACTTGTCCCCACAGCTCTGAGAACACTTTTTGCAAGTGCTTGGTAATTTGTGAATATTTTATAGTTACACTGATTTATAATAATTTATATTAACACATATTTTGGCAATATGCTACAGAATCTGGATTTTGGACACTCAGACCTTCTGGTGAGCAAGGCACTGTAATACACGCCTGCTTTCTACACAGGGATTAATCATGAGGCTAACTGCATCTCCCGACACAGGGACAGCACTTCAGTGCTTTGAGTAGCATGCCATTTTCAGCAGCTTGTTAGCCAGAATTGGGACTGTGTTGCTTGTGAATTCTTAGTGCCCTTGTTAACAGAGGCAATGGCAGCTAAGGTGTTGAGGCTGCTACTGCCTACAGCAGAGGCAGCAGCTTTGAAGAGGAGGAATATGTAAAGAAGTTCTCCCGGAAACACAAACACTCAACCCAGAGCCTGGCCTCTGCTTCCTCTTTAATCACCTTCTCTTTTTCTTCGCTATAAAGAGATCTCCAGAGCTGAGGAAGACTCTCACCTGCTAACTCCTTATCCATACCTGAGTCTTCTCTGTGGTCAGGTGGTAAAATCTCTAGAGTCTCCGTTATAAGAAAGATCATAAATCCTAACAAACATGTTTATAACTATTTTCCTTCCTCTAGTTCTTTTTCCTTTCGGTGGTTTGGCAAGTTGCTGAGTGGCGTGATCCTACCAAGACTGCCTTAATGGACAAACTTGTTCTGCAGACCATAGCATGAAGAGAGATGAACATCGTACCGTGTCTTGGTTAGACACTTGGAGATTTTCTCCAGCATGATACTCCTGTCCTAGTCCTGTGAAGACAGTTCTAGCCCTCTTTCCAACTCTTCAGATCAACAGCTACGGCAGCATAAAGGAAGATGTGCAAGCCCTTGCTTCCATGTGCACTGGCTTTATAATGGACTATTTTATATTTTACACTTAGGAGCGCTCAGCTTGTCAACCATCTTGACACTTACCGATGGCCTTTGTGTAATGCCTGGCACCAAGGAGAAGTTCTGGAGCCCGATACCAAAACGTCACAACCACTGGATCCAAATCTGCGAGTGGCTTTAGAGGAGAATTGAATAATCTGGCAAAACCCATGTCAGCTGAAAAAGAAAATAAATACATAAAACTCAACTTGACATGCTATCATAGCTACGCAGGAATTGGTAATGCTTGCTCTAAAGCCTGCATCCTGGCTAGGAACTGCACTGTTTCCCTTTACTGAGACAGACTTCTATGCTGTCTGCCTTACTGACAAGGAGAATAAAGCTTAAAAGTATGTTGATCTCTCAACAGCAAACTATTAGTTCAGAGTCAAAAGTGGGATCTGAATCTAAACTTCTGTTTCCTGGCTTTCAGGAGCAAATAAAACATTCCAAAGGCTCTTGTTTAGAGACTGTACACCTCCCCATCTGAGAACTAACTCTACACACTACTTAGTTCACGATGTGCTGGAATCAGGTGCTGTAAACTCAGAAGGGCTGACTTACATGTGCCTCTTCCCAACTCTGTGTTCAGTGACAGTGGACTGGACAAGTGGAATTGGCTATGGGGGAGCAATTAGAGCGTGCAAAACAGAAAATACCTTATGGGGACCTTTCTCCTAGAAAGTGGACTGTATCAGCACATCATACACAATCCCAGGGACACACATAAAACATAGAACAGATACTTGCTATAACATATATAGAAAATTGCTATAGTAATTCATTTAACAAAGATGTATACAAAGTAAGTATTGTCACTGTAAGGTTCTAGAGATCTTTTTTTATGATTTCATGAATAAGAAGTACCTTACATCTAAAAGACACTTTACAAACGGCATTTACACACACCATACAACCTCACTTCACCTTTGTAAGAATAGCAGTTAGTACTCTGCTTCTCACTTCTGAGATGAAGACTCTAAAGTCAAAGACAATCAAACTACTTGTCTATGCTCACAGGAATAGCAAATCATCAGTACTCAAAAACCATGTTTTGATTTAGTAGCTACATTCTTGTGTGTTCAAGTATACATGAAGGGGCAGACGTTGGTATTGGGTGTCTTTCTCTACTACTCTTATGTTGCCTAGCCATTTCTTAGGAATTGAAACAATCCATCCCAGGGGAACTTCCTTGCTGGGATGGTGTGTTTGAAACCAGAAGGGAAACAACTTCTGGTTTCAAATAGCTCCAGGAAGCCCCTGAAACTGGCTAGATTCACTATGCCCCTACCTCCCAAGGATACACTAACAACTGCTGAGAGTCATTCTCAGGCAAACCCAGCTGTAGAGCTGGCGGTGACAGTGCACTCAGGAGACAGCGGTAGGTGGATCTCCGTGAGTTCGAGGCCAGCCAGGTCTACAAGAGCTAGTTCCAGGACAGATGGATACACAGAGAAGCCCCCATCTCAAGCCCCCTCTCCAAACAAAAAGGACAGAGACCAGATCAGCTACCAGAAAAAGCAGGGACCAGCCCACCTTCCCGGAAGAGGTTCAGACCAACGGAGTCACTTTTCCAGGACACTTTCCAACATGCCGAGTTGCCTGCAAGCAGTGTGCTTCAGGTTCCCAGCTGTTGTGAGCTGTCACCTGTGCTGGGGCGGGCTTTGGAGACAGCTGTCTTTGAGTCATTTCTGCTCCTATAAGAAACCCTTCACTTAAATTCCTGTGAGTTACCCCTCACCAATCACAACGTCGATCCCTGGTGGTATCCAATTTTGCTCCGCCATGAACTCCCTCTCTGGGGTGAGTAGACAACTGTGTAGTATTTCCCCAGGAAAACCTTAGTGACACAGTACTCACCATCTTATTTTTTGAGACAGGCTCTCTCCCTGAGTTAAACACACACTCACTAGGCTGGCTGGCCAGCAAGCTCCATAATCCTCCTGTCTCCAACACCCCCAGCTCTAGGGTAATAGAGTAACTTTTAATGTGGGTTCTGGAGATCTGAACTCGGCCTTTCAAACTTGTGTGTTAGGCACTTCAACTAAGGAACCATGCAGCCCTTCAGTAGCCATACTCCTAAGCGCTGAGTGGCATCCAATAAACTATACATATGGTAATTACAAACCACAAAGGCAGAGTCACAAGAATGAAAAAACCTTATAATTTAAAATATACAATATACATAGTACATTTTGAATGTGTAAGGGATTCAAATGTACTATAAAAAGAACAAATGCCAGTGACTATAATGGATCATTTAATCAGAAGCTAAGTATGCTATAATATGCATTAAATTATAATAGATTATATTGATTATTTAGAGTTTGAAATAATGTATAATGCTTCATGAGACTGCTCTGGAGTATTAAAACTCTGGAGTTCTTAAAGAAATTAAAGTTCACCAAGGAAACCCATGTGATACCTCCCCCTTTAAAAGTCAATTTCTCTAGTACAAACAAAACCAGTCAACAATTTCCCCAATATTATACCTGTTATTTCATGACAAGACACAACACTGAAAACACCAGCTTCCCTGAGTGACGCATGCTGGCTGCTGCTGCTGGAAATATGGTGGGGAAATGTGTGATGAGATGCTGCGTTTTATACTAGAGGCAAAAACTGATGTTCCTCTTCTTATCCCAACCTCTTATCTAAGTTTTTAAAAATGAATTAAGTAATCTATTTATTTTTGGAGACAGGGCCTCACAATGTAACTCTGGTTGTCCTGGAACTCATTTTGCCTCCCAAGTGCTGGGACTAACAGCATATGCCATCAAGCCTGGCTCCATCTCTTAATTCTGTTTAATTCATTGTCAAATAAAGCCAAGGCCAGAAGAAAATAAGTACAATTCCATCCTACTGAAGCTGATAGGAGCCTTTTCAAATAATTACTAATTTAGACAAAGTAAATAACCTAAACAATGCCTTGACTGTTTTTCAAAATAAAGTATGTGGAACTGTTCAATTAAATGGATGGGAAAGCTGGGCAGTGGTGGTGCACACCTTTAATCCCAGCACTAGGGAAGCAGAGGCAGGTGGATCTCTTGAGATTGTGGTCTGCCCGGCCTACAGAGCAAGTTCTAGGACAGACAGCCAGGGCTGCACCAAGAACCCTGTGTGGGTATGCGGTGCTAACTAGGCAGTATCTAACAGCAGACAAGGAGCAACACCAGAGTCTGCATGACAGAAGCACACAAACACGCCCAGGTAACAGGAGTCAGTTCTGTGGGGTTTCTACCATGTGCTAGTAAGTCCCCCAGTGGGAGGGTCTCTATCTCCTTCAAGGTACCATTGGAAGCGTGCTCTTAAACACAGCGAAAGTAGACTAAATTGAAAACAGAACTTGAGTTGGATTTCGAAGTTTAAGTCTTTTGAGATAGGGAGGGAGGCGAGATGTTAGACAAGGACTGTTAAATATTTTTGGCTTCTTGAGAAAGGTTCTCATTCTTAGCCCAGGCTGGCCTCACTATATATCCCAAGAAAATCCTCCCATCTCAACTTGTAAAGTACCAAGATTGAAGGCACAAGCCAAACTGGGATGGGGCGGGGGAGGGGGTCCTTGAGGTTGCTGGGGAGGACAGGGCACGATGTACCTTTTTAACCATTCAACTGTACAGCCCTTTGGAGCCCAAAGAGAACTATACTAAAACCTTGAGACTCAAATCCCGCAGTCATGAAGTCCTAAAGAAACACACAGAGGTCCACATTAATATAAACTGGATGGCTGGCCTATTAGCTCAGGCTTCTTATTAACTCTTTCTTGCATCTTAAATTAGCCCAGAATTCTTGTCTGTGTTAGCCACGTGGCTTGGTACCTTTTATCAGCAAGGCATTCTCATTTTGCTTCCTCTGTGTCTGGGTGACAACTGCAGACTGACCCTTTCTTCTTCCCAGAAGTCTCCCTGTTCTTGCTGCCCTGTCTCTACTTCCTGCCTGGTTGCCCTGTCTATACTGCCTGCCTAGCTACTGGCCAATCAGCATTTATTAAAACAATACAAGTGACAGGATACAAGACCATTGTCTCACAGCAGACATCTGTAGATTTTTATTTTTATACCACTGGGATTGAACCCAGGGTCTCTTACACATCACACAAACACCCTACCATGAGTTCCCTCAGTCCCCACTATACTGTCTTTAAACAGTAATTCTGGGGCTGTGGAAGTAGCATGGTGGTGGATTTCCATATACACATAAAATGGCATTAAAACACAGTTTATAAGGGCTTAATCAATTATGCTTACTCTTACTGGTAGTTATTGCTTAATTCTTAACTTATCCCCAATCTTTAATAGAACTATAATCTTAAAATTCTTAACAATAGGTAACTGACCTGAGCAGAGAACACAATTTTATATTGACTAGGTTCATGTGACTAAGGCAAACATCGTGAATGACAAAAGCAATAAAGAGTCTAAGATGATGATGGTGATGATGAAGAATTTGCTTGGGGACAATGGAACTCGCGTTGCCAAGAGGGCCAGATAACAATAAAGACTTCTGATAGAGAGAGTGGACATCTAAACTGTAGAATCATTTTCATAACATCTAGAATTAGAGATCATGGATTGCCAACTCCTTAAAGAAATAACTGTAGAGGAAGCTGAGTCCCCAGTCAGTGAAGGTGTCCTGAAAAAGCACATCAATGAGAACAACAGGAGCACAGTGCATAAGCAACAGCAGAAGCCAAAGACAGAAAGTCAGGCAAAATGTGAGACAGCCTTGGGCCAGACTGCTCAGGAGCCATGGTGCACCATGGTGCTAACAGGGAGTGCTAGGACAGAGGTCATAGGCACAGGTCTTTTCAGGGACAGTTTTGGATAGAGAAAATGGATTTCAGAGTGAGATTTTAACAAATTATGGTAAATGAAACCAAAGTGTGAATATCAAGGTTCTTGTAGGCGTAGAGGAACAATGGGGATGCATTAACATGGGACACAGGGACACAAACACCAAAGAAAACAAGATGGAGGCATGAACTGAACTGGCGCAGAAAATGTTACAACCAGTTTAAAGACACTACAAGGCTAACTCACTGAAATAACTTGCAGAGTGAGAATGTTGCAGATCCAGAGCCAAATTATCCTGAGCTATTGTAAGTCCTTTCAACGGCCATCGGCTGTCTGTGTCTGACCTACCATCCTTGCAAACATCAGGCAGACCACTAGCTCCTC